TCAACACACAGCCCCTCTCCCTCTGCAGGTCCAAAGTCCCCAGCCACTCCATCTCTCCATGTCATCATCTCTACCTCCATCTCTGGTGTCACTACTTCTGTAGGTAGGGTCCCTCCCGCACTCCACTTTTGTCCCTTGATGGTCCTAGGGCCCTCCACTTCTGGACTGCAAAGTCAACCACTCCCCTCCTTTTGTTTTAAAACATCTAACTTTACATTTTCAGCCCTCACAGTCAGTTCTGATAGCAATTATTCACTATTATACCACAAGAGACTTATCCCCATCTCCTTTCACTAGCCGCCCCACCCCCACCCCAGAGAGATTGGCTACTACTCAGTGGAGATTCTACTTTCCTCCACGCCCTCTGGATCTAGGCTCCCTCTTGAAAGCTTCTAAGCCAGTCACTTCTTGCCTTTGTAGCCCCTCACACACACACACACTTTGAATAGCCAGTGTCTAGGTTGCCCATCCCAGTGTACTCTGGGTATGGAGGGGGGGTGGGAATGATCCTAGCTATAAAGATTTTTTCCCTCTTTTGAGCTACTGTATCCATAGGTATAGTTCAAGTTCATCACATTGTATTAGATTACTCTTTTTTTTTCCTCTTCTTTCATTTTCTAGTTGTGCTCTGATCATCCAGTCATTGAAGCCAGTGGGTATTATCTGCAGGTGTGGGTGTTCTTGTGCATATGCCCTCTCTTCTTATAAGCTGGGTGCTTCACTCTCCACTCTAGTCCTCTGTTGCTATGTCACTGACTCTGGACCCAAGAGTCCCCAGGTCTGCCATACTGCTGACCAACCAGGTCTCCACCTGGGTTTACAGGAATCTACTGAACGTCGTAGGGCTTAGCTAACCGCTTCATTGCTGTTTTTCCCTCATTTCCCCTTATCCGTGACGAACGTGGTCACCATTCAGAATTCTTGTCTGCTCATGTATTCCCATTGGGTCTTAGTCTTAGAAACAGGTTTTCCCTGAAGGGACCCAACCACTTGCCTTGATGTCTCCTTGGCAAGTAACTTGCTTGATCTTGTAGTAATCAATCAGACTTCCATTACTGTTTTGTATTTTTCCTGTCAGTCTTTCTTTCAAGAAGTATCGTCTGTTCTTCTAGTTGCTTCAGGTTGGTCTGCCTGTTCTTTCGAGTGGAATTTCCCACCTCAGAAGATTTTGGGTGCGGTTCAGGATTTCACCTATGGTCTTATGTAATGCAGAGGCTCTGCAGGAAGTCTCTCTTTTAGGTATTCCAAGAAGATACTTCTTGAAAGAAAGCCCAGCAGGAAAACTCAAAAACAATCACAGCAGTTCAATTGACTACAACAAGAACAAGCAGGTGGTTCCCCTGGGAACCGTCAACGCAAGTGGTCAGGTCCCCTCAAGGCAAACCTCCTTCCAAGACTGAAACTCAAGTGGAATACACAAGCAGGCATGTGGTCTTACTGCTGACCCCAGTTGGTCACCGATAAGGGGAAGTGGGGGAAAAACAGCATTGAAGTTGTGAACTAAGTCCAACCACATTCAATAGACTCCTCTTAACCTGGATTGCCACCTGGCTAAAGAGCAATATGACGAGACCTGGGGACTCCTGGAACCAGGGGCAGGGACATGGCCCCAGAGGACTAGAATGGAGTGTGAAGTG